GAAATTCCTTACTTCTGTGTTTCAAACTGGTACGATCAATGAATAAAACACAACCACATGATAACATGTCACCTCAGTGTTCACTCACAAAAATATTTCCCTCTAATGTGCTCAGATCTGTAAAATAAAGGATCTTGATCTTGGCACATTTCTATCTCACCAGCAATTTCTAGGAAAATCCTTAGACTGTATAAAGTTGAACAGCATGACAGCTCCTCAAGAGTGAATCCAAAGCAACTTGATTTCTCCCTGGTGGCTGGCTGCAGTATTGCTCATTAACCCCACCTCATCCTTGTAAGGGGATGGGACATGTGCCAAACTCAATCAAATCAAATTAAATATACTTTATTGTCCCCATAGGGAAAGTTTTCTTGGGCCAATGTGCTACAGCAGCTGCACACCAGAACATTGTGTAACAAACAATAAAAAACAGTACACAAGGACATCTAGTGTAAGACCCACAATAATCATGCAGAATGAAAGTGAGTTGAATATTGCACCTGCCATAAAAACACTTAAAAAGATAAAACAATAGAAGGATATAATACATAAAAGAGGATTCACCATGATCCACCACCACTATCAGGATCCACCATGATCCACCACCACTATCAGGATCCACCATGATCCACCACCACTATCAGGATCCACCATGATCCACCACCACTATCAGGATCCACCACCACCATCAGGATCCACCATGATCCACCAAATACGTATATATATAATTACGTGAAATATATATTATAATTATCTAATTATACTTTCTGGCACAGCAGTGTAAAATATCACCATTGACGTTGGAGCTCACACCAAACAGCCTGCGCAGGAAGTGCACCCTTTGCGCTAACCTCCCACACAGAAAGTCTATACGGCCAATGATATTTAACAGTGTTCACGTGCTCGATACTTTGTCACTGGTTAATGGGCTCTCGCCTCTCTGGGGTCGAATATCATCTCCTTCGTCTTTTGGACGTTAAAAATTAGATGATGACTCACCAGTCACTGTATCAACAGAAAATTTGATGATGTAATTATTTGTCCAACTGCTCATGCATTCATTAGTTTTCAGTGTGTAGAGGAAAGGAGAGCTCACGCAGCCTCATGGTTCACCTGTGCTACAGTATTTGACACTGGAAAGTGAACTATTTGCCTTCACCTGTTGGGACCTGTTAAGAATAAAACCATTTTATGATAAAAGGATTTACATGCATGTCATTAAACGTCTGTTCCAATAGGTATGGTTGGATAGTGTTAAAAGCTGAACAGAAATCTACAAAGAGGACGCTTGCATAAGCCTTGGGGTTCTCTAGATCCTACCTGATTAGATGCGTCACACTTGCGACAGCATCCTTTGTGCTCCGCCCCTGTCTGTAGGCAAAGGTCCAAACTTAAAACAACACACCATCTTAAGCATATTCACGATGATCTTTTCAAAACATTTCATAACCACAGGTGTAAGAGTCAAAATACACGACTTATTTCTCAAAGAAGGGTTCTGTCATTTCAGGTAGATGTTATCACACATGTTTTTTCATGTTTCTGATAAGTTTGGTTGTAATTACTTATTGGATTCTATAAAACAGGGTGAAATGTCATGATTGACAGCTGAGACTGAGTCACGATTGGTTCGGGCAGTGTATCAGCGGGACCTTACTCACTGTGGCTCCGCATCGTAATCACAACTGTAAGGACTCAAAATAAAATTGTTTATGAATTATCCTTCACTTAATTTTTACACAATTTCCTATGATTACTTCTCAAAACTCTCAAACCTATAATAAATGGGTACGTAATCACTGCAAACCACAAAAGCTGTCATCATTTATTTTACAATGAATGGAAAATTGCTCTGGTGTCTCTTGGAAACATCCACAAAGTTCACAGCCAAACACCAACAAAATTTTCGGAAATTATGGAAAATACTCTTACAATAAATTGTTACCACATTTTCCACAGTCAAACCCCATTGTACTGCAGCGATGAAACATCTTTTAAACACAAGATGATTTAGATGATTAGGTCTGTCTCACGCTGCCAAGTTAACCAGCAGCTGTAATAAAGGACGTTTATGTGCAATACATAAAAGTGTGGGATGAAACACCACCCACCTACACTAAAGATCTCATTTAGCAGTTAGAGAAAGTTAGATTCATCCTGAGGGGGAAACACTGATGTGTTTTATAAGAGCTGTCAGCCATTTATCACCAGTGTTGAGAATTGGATGGAGGACGAGACATTTTTATGATGTGTGTGTATATGGATGATGCTGAAACTGATATATATATCTCACATGTCTGTCATTAAATACTGTGATGTGTGTCATGATGACACATGAGCACATTTTATTTCTTCTTTTTTTTAAATGTAATTAATATAGCACTTATTTAATCCCAATTATTTATTTTTGTTTACCCATCAATTTATCATTTTTATTATCATATTAAGTGTGTTACTCAAAAAAGGTTGCCCTCCTGTTTTGTGTTTTCAGGGGACGTCATGTTTTGCTGCAAGTCATCTTCATTAAGATCGTATTCTATTTGTGACCTTGCAGACAACGTGACATTTCCTATCGCTGACCAATCACATGGCTGGAAATTTGATACTTACTGTGAAAAAAACCATGTATCCTCCCAAATGCCCTGTCAGCACATATCATTATACCCATGATACGACTCATAAGGTGCTCGATTCAGAGGACACTTCTCTGATTTCATCTGAGAGTTGTAGTACATCTCTGTTACACTGTTATTTGAATCTGACAATAAAAACAACAACGCTGTAGAGTATTATTAATTATTATTCAAAGAGAGTTTCCATCTTAAAAAGCCGCCATGACTAGTTGGGCTCGCTGGGATGATTTCGTGTCTTCCCTCAGACAGTAAATACTGTAAAGAACTCAATGTGTGAATACAGTATCAAAGAAAGGTGTATTGACGGAGAAGAGTGCTGTCATTGCCATCAGAAAGAGGGTACGTCGGAGGTGCGATCTTGAAGGAGGATGTAGGAAGTGGGAAAATTGATGTGTCCCAAGATCAATACAGGAGAGCATATGTATCTCAACAGTGTAACTAAATCACCCTCTGGCTGCTGCTGCTGCTTCAGGGGCATCGGCCTGTGTGTCCCCTGAGCTGACGACTGGTGTGGAAGGGTGAACGTGGCAGGGTCACGACGGATCATGGGAGAAGAGGGAAAGGTTTGAAGCAGATTGAGAGCCCCTTTTTATTTCTGTTGGTGGCAACAACTGCTTTATCGCCACATTGTCTCGGATCAATATCCATCAACGCTGGTTTTTCCGAGACAAAAGGCACAACTACCTCGATGAGCATCAAACAGAGACGTACATTAGTGGTTTTCAAGTGGTTCCAACAAATGTATTTTCATCTTGACAAAAAAGAAAATAGATGTGTGATATTGCTTAATGGATCCATGAGATTGTAACCTCAAACATGTTCAGCAGGTTTTATAATGTGATGTGAACTACAGTGAATATCCAGTTCTTCATTACAAGTGCTAAATACTGTACGTAGAGAATACTCTGTGTATACTCCACTGCCTTTGAACAATGAATTGCAATACATGGTTCTTTCTAAAAAATATTTCTAAGGAGGACTGTACACTGTTGCATAAATGTACAGGCTTCACCCTGCAAGTAGTTTTACTTCTTAAACTTTAAGTATAATTAAAAGCAAAAAACTTACTTTTACTGAAGTAGAAAGGTTAATGTGGTACTTTTACACCACAGACGTTTTACAGTGGTAGAGATTTTCTAATCTTCATGCTTCAGGTAAATACATGAAATAAACAGTGCTCATCTGTGAGTCTCTGAGTCTCCCTCTAGTGTTGCATGATGGTCAATTACCTCCCTGTGCCTTGAACTGGAAATGGACTGAGGTTACCTTGCATGGGTTTGGATGTTGCTAAGTAATGAGCCAGGCAACAAAAGGATTAGTTCTGCACAAACATAAAGACACAGACTTTGTTTTTAAAACTGGGATTGTGTGCATCGGTTTAATGAAGTGTGAATGATATGAGGTGTATAACAGTTATCTCTACAGAAAGTGAGATGTTGGTTTTACATGTTTATGTGGGGCCTCGGTTCTCAGACAAAGCTTTCGGGGGCTGCAAGGCTTCGTGGTGGTCTTGTTTTGGAGTACATTATGGAGAAAGGTGTTTCTAATAATCTGACTGCCTCATTTACATAACATGGAGGAGGAAATAATCAGAAACACACTCCGGCTTAATGCGATCCAGCAGGACGATGCCACAAACTGCATGCAGCCTCTGGCACGGAGCTGGTGGCAATTAAAAATTGAGTTATGTGATGAAGAGACATGGCCTACTACATGGCCAAAATTATTTGGACAATGGTGGTGTGACATGCACATGTGGTTGTTGAACATGTCAGCGTCAATCTGCAGCTGTCACAGAATCCGTGGTTCTGAGTTCTTGGAGCTGGATCTTCAAACTTGGCTGCAGGGATTTGATTTGAGCATCAGTGAAATGGACCACTGATGTTGAGTGATAAGTTCTTTAGCATGAATGGGGTTTGTGTTATGGAGGAGGGGGCAGTCATGCAGAGACTGTAGGGGAGTGTGTGTGTGTGTGTGTGTGTGTGTGTGTGTGTGTCTCGTTTCCTCTGCCCGCTCCGTTGATTGGTATTTGGAGATAGACAAATCCTTCAT